CAACAAATATGACAGCAAATCTCCAGGAATTTAGCCCTTGTGATCATGTTACACTACAATCCTAATTCACCCTGGGTGTGGTAATAAACTACTGTGCACTGGGCCATTGCCAACAACAGACAAGTATTTCTCACAGATCTTCAGGTGCAAAATCCAAGAATAGATGCTGGCACATTTGATGTCTAGTAAGAACCCAGTTCCTAAACATCAGTTTGCTTGCTGTTATGTCAGAGGGTGGGCAGGGAAAAGGAAGTTTCTCTGTCCTCTGTTATAAAGACCTTGATCCCATTCATCAGGTCTCTACCCCAGGATCAAAACTTGCCCCAAGGCCCCACCTCCCTAATATCACCCCATGGGCCTCTGGTGTTAATATTTGAGTTTTCAAGTGACATCAACACCAGCTCATAGCAATAACAAATGAATCAAATCATGACTCCACCCAGATGGGTGGCTACTCCAGTAGAGCTACCCAAATGGAGGTTCCCCATAATCCAGTGGAAGGTTCTCACCTTTGGGAGCAGAACAGGGACCAATGTCCTTCAGAAAAGAACTGAGGACCTTGTAGAGTGGACAGCTCTGACCCTAGACTTTGAAATATTATGTCATATAAATTATTATTACTTTCCCTTATTTCTTAAAAATAACCATTATTGTCATTTTAAGGACTAAAGTAGTTTTCTAATGATAAGTGTAGGCAATTCTGCATTCTCTCTCCTGTTTTCTAGGTGTTCAGTGGAACAAGTAGTCAGGCTGTAGTTTTTGATGTTTGATGCTGACATGTTAAAGTTCACCCCTGTCTGTCCTCCTGTGCACACACATGGGGAATCTGAAGTGAAAGTGGGGAATCTCCCTAGTTTGTTGCAGGTGGGGATAGAAAACACACAGATCCCTCCCATGAACAGGACTCTTTTTGACCATGTCATGGATGAACAGCAAGTACCTGACTCAGGCTCTTTACCTGGTATGATCCCACCCTCCCTGAGTTCCTGAAAAGTCTGCTGTGCACTTAGCAGGCTCATCAATGAATTGAGAAACTTTTATATAGTCCCTCTGTGTGTGTGACACCATCACACTAGACATTCATGCCAAGGAATAGTGGGGGTTTCCTCTACCTCCATATCATGCCAATTCTTATTGGTGTTATGCACATGGAGTCAGCCTCCATCACCACCAGAGCTTTAGTCCTGGGCATTGGGTTCATACACCTCTGGTGCCTGCTGTCCAGCAAGCACATGCCCTGCTGCTGGTTGGCTTGGACTCTGGGAGAGGAGGAGCTGCTGCACTCTTGGGTGCTGCAAACCCTCTGGTTGGAATCAGCTGATGTGGGTCAGAGGGTTTCATGGTTCACTGATGATTCATTAGCAGAGCAGGAAGCACGTGTATGAGACTGACTTTGGAGCATGTGAGAATGTTTTCCTCTGATAACAGCAAGCCTCTGCAATTCAGATTCATAGGAGGTCAGCACAGAATCTTGAAGGGAGGGAGGCTTCGAGAGAGAAAATTCTGTGCGGAGCATCAACCCCACACCTGCCAGGAAACAAGCCCTTAAACTGCATCTGCAGCTGCTCCCAACCTGATCCCTGAGCTGAGTGTGACCTGAAAGTATCCACAGTTGGGAAAAGCTTATAATCATAATTTTATGTTTAGTAATATGTTTGTTTCAAGTTAGTTGTAAATAAGACCCTAATATAAAGGGCAATTTCTTCAGAGGCCCTGTTTTCAGTAACTCAAACACCTGTGACCACTTTTATATGAGTAACTATAGAGGCTGGGTGGGGCCCCTTGTTCCTTGTTCTGCGAGTGTTGCATTTATGTCCAAGGCTTTCCGTGCTAAGTGTCCATTAAGGCACTGAGGCCTGCAGCAGAGACCCCTCACAAATGACATCAGAGACAAGCACACTTTTTGTGCAGGAGATGAAAAACAAAGCAGCAGTACGCCTCTCTATGTTGCAGTGTCATCCAATTACTGAACAGATGATGTGAGAGAATCATGGCTGATCCACATTCTAAGATTCTGGCACTACAGGTCCATTGTCTTCAGAGGCAGCAGAGTGGGAAGGGCCACGTCCATAGGTTTCTCAGAGGCAAGGTCACTGTGCCCCTCAATGGAACCCTCTCCATCTCCAGCCTCCTTGAGATGGCTGGTCCCTGTAGCTTGAGGCTCCTGGGCTCCTGCTCTACATGGAAATTCTGCTATATTCAGGATACAATATTTTCAGACATAGTGTTTGAAAATATATTCTCCACTCTATGCTGATCTTTTCATTCCCTTAATAGTACCTGGGTGGGACAAAGGATTTTGATTTTGGCTACATTTTTTAAAAATATTTCATGTATTTATTTTTAGACAAAGGAGAAGGGAGGGAGAGAAGGAAAGAAACATTAAGTATTGTAGCCTTTTGTGCACCCCCTAGTGGGTACCTGGCCCATAATGCAGGGATATGTCCTTGCTGGGAATCAAACTGCCCACACTTTGGTTTGCAGGCCAGCACTCCATCCACTGAGCCACACCAGTCAGGGCTAATTTTAGCTATATTTAATTCATCAATATCTTACCCCAATGTTTCATCTCCATATTCACTAGACAGCTCACTCTCACCGAGATTAGGTCCTGTATTTCCCTGACATTTGTATGAAGAACACGGTTTCCCTGTGATTGTGGAGAGGAGTAGTGATGCTGATTCACAAACGATGAGAGTCATGTGCAGAGAAGCTCACTGCCCGACAGGTGCTCCACAGACACCAGGGAAACTTCCTTCAGAGTGAGGTCCCACTGGGTGCTCATCTCTTTGATCATAACTAAAAATGCAGGACAGGAATAGCTGGTCACTCTTACCCCACTTTCAGTTGTTTTTCAATTTGCTATTAAAAGGGATGAACATTTTCTCCAGAAGTCATTTTAAATCTGAAGCATCTCATCGAGCATATCTGCCATTGCCACGTCCTGCATCCATAGTCTCCTCTGCACTGATGCACACATGCAGCTTTGTGGGCAACAAGAGACCAGGCATCCGACAGTGGTCCCATGAGATCCTGGTGGGGCTCAAGTATCCCTCTCAGCTGGGACATCATCGCTGCTGCAGTGTGGTAGTGCCTCACGTTTCTCACAGGTGTGTGCACTACTGGTGGTCATATAAAACAACCTGCTGCACTTTGAGTCATGTTACAGCACAGCCTGTGCAGTCACAGTGGTGGCTGATCCATCCAGGTGTGGGGAATGACGCTGTGATGTTCACACAGGATGGGACTGTCCAACTCTGCATTTTTCAGACCCTATTCAGTCCCTGGCTGTGTCAGCCTTGCTGTAAATATAACCCCAATTGAAGCACAGTCCTTCATGAACACCCATTTATTTTGCTTTAATTAATCAAGATGTTCCTTGTACCTGAGCCCCTGCCTCTAAATTATTGGGAGGCCAGTTCCCCTGATTCTTGATGTTGAAAGTTTTATAATCCTGGCAGTCATATTATTATTGTGAAGTAAATCTTTGTTGTATCTTCTTTTTCAACTACTTATAAAATACACATATTTATTACATTCTTACATTTTGTGCTTTTCTGTGAAATTTTTAATGAATCCCTCAAATACAAAACTCACTACAACTTTGGGTGGGAAGTAATATATTGATTTTCTCCGTCTCTGATTTCTGGGTCAGTCCTAGTTCACACTGGCCTCCTCCGAGGTCACATGTAGCCTGTTCCTTTGACCTGGGTTGATCCCTCCAGCAATGACCCTGGGTCTTGTTCATTGTGGGTGTTGACATGTCTCTTCCAACTGGCACAAAGTCCTCAATTTTATCTGAAAATATAAAATGTGTGATGAGCTGGATTTCTGGAAATGCTTGAAAAGGGTTTCAGTGAGAATCTGCATCTTCCTTGGGTCATCAGTGTAAGTCCAGGCTCATGAACCCTCATCAAAGGGTCTCATCCTCACCATCCTCTGTTACCAATGGAAACACAAGCCAGGTCACAGAACCACAGTAGTCGGAGATGCAGAGGACGTGGGGGTGAGGTCAAGCACATCTCATGGATCTGTGCTTCGCTCACCCTGCACCATCCCATTGTCTATAGAGACCCCCAGTGCCAGGCAGGAATGGCCAGTGACTGAGGGTGCCATGGAGTGGAGGACAGTACAGCCCACACCAGGATGAGGCTGACCTTGTTCTCAGTTCCCCACTCAGGAGGGGCCCACTGTCAATGCCACATCCCTCACTGAGGGTTGCACCCTCTCTGTGCTGCTGAAATGAGGCCCTGAGTGTGGAGGGCCAAGCAGGATAATGCGTGCCAAGGGAGCTGGAAGCAGGCCTCGGGTTCAGCACAGCGGCCCTAGCCCACAGAAGACTGCCTGGTAGGTTGTTGTAAGAAAAGAATGACTTGGCTGCTTGCTATATCACTGTACCAAGATGGAGCAGCAAATGTGCTTAAAAATAAAATGTATCTAGGCTTGGGATTTGTCTTTCTCATGCTCTACTTCAAAGCTGGCTCAAGGAATACAGACTGACTTCACCTTTAAACAGTTCCCTCCTCTGCATCCCAGAGAAGGGACTTCACCTGGCCCTGCTTTCACTCTCTCCCTTTATTTCTTAATCCTCATTGCCTTCCCTCGGGACCTGACCGATCTAGCTGTGCTGGTCGCAGCACTGAGGGAGCCAAGACCACAGGGAATGTGAGTTGTGTGAGCAGAAGTGGGAAGAGCTCATGTCCAATGGGTAACATCTGGATTACGTTGGATCATACCAACAAAGAGCAAATTCTTCAGTTCAACATGAAGGATTCCTACCCACTTTTATTTGTCTAACCTGTCAGTAACAGTGTTTCATTTTATTCTTATTCACAAACAAAAATGTTGTCAGGTAACCTTGCTCTGGACTGCTCAGTGTCCCGTTGCCTGTACAAGATGGGCTAACAGCACAGTCCACCCTCTCAATCCAGTATGAACTCTGACATAAAGGTTGAAATACATAGTTCACTGAGCCTTCCTTGCTTAGGAAAACCTGCTTCTCACTCCAGCAGGGCCAGGCCCACTGCACCCTGCAGGAAAAGAGAAGGCGAGGTGATGTGAGGAGACTTGTCTTGTCCTACCTTCACACTCCTCCATGCCTCCTTCCTCAACCCCCTGCTCAGTGACAGAGTCTGTGAAGTGGAAATGTCCTTTGATCCCTCGTGGTGAGTGTGAGAACACGTTCATGATTCCTGTACTCCAGTCCTCACACATTTATCTTCTCATGTGCACAAAACACATCTTTCAACATGTCATTTCAATTCCCTTCAACCAAGACTATGAAGATTGTATGGGGCACAGTGAGTCCATATGACATGGTGCATTTTGCTCATTGTCAGATCCTATGGGCAGAAAAGTGTCTCCCTCAGCAGGAGGAAATGAAAGTCAGCTGTCCATGTGGTGCTATGTCTGCATTGAATTCCTATCCCAGGCCTTGAGCCGTGGCACCTGTCACATCATCTGTGAAGCACAGAAGTGAGAAAGCATCTGTTCCTTTTAGGACTCACTCACAGCCTCCTGGGATCACAAGGGATGGCTGGACCTGCCCATGGTAAGCCATGAGGCCTGTTCCCCTAGGGCATGAGTCTGATGGCCAGCTGCTGTCTCTGTTATGGCTATCACACAGTGGATTCTGTCACTTGGCTACTACAAGGATGTAAGAGGAATATATGGGCTTGAGCCTATCACACCTTGCACAAGCTCCCCCTGACAATTCACCACAGGGCCCCAGGTGGCCACTTCAACAGGGGCACCAAGAAGACTCTTTGATGGCTCCTGTTTCTTGGGGGTTTCTTCCAATGGGCTATGGCAGGCCTTACTCCATGTGCTCCTTATACCTCAGGGTATTCTGTAAGCTTGGGATCCACTTGTTCATCTTTATAGTACCTAGGTTTCCAGTACCATCCTCTTGACCTACGGCCAGGACACTGGGAAACACCCATGTGACCCTCAGACCCGGGCACTGTGACTGTTCATTCCACTCAGGGAAAACAGCATGTGATTCAGCTGACTGGATTGATTTGTTCTTACCTTATGCCCCAGTATATTCCATCACTTACAGCTGTGGCTTGCCATACAAGAGCCTTTCCATCCATCTAAATGTGTTAATGTTACAGAACACAACAAGGGGGGCCTGGGACAATATACTATTATTGAAAGAAGGCCCCGGGTCCGTTATGTCCGCCGCCAGAGGAAAGACATCTCTCAATGCCAGAGATTTGTGAAAAGGAAAGGAAATGTTTATTTAATGCTATACAAACTTAAAGTAGTGACCTAATGTCTTTATCAAAAACCTTAAAGTCCCTTAAAACACCCACAAACACACACAGTCCTTCCTTCCTTCCCCCTTTGCCCAGTCCAGAGTACTGTATCTCAGGAAAGGAAATAGAAGTCCATGGCTCAGGCAGTCCTCTGGTTCTTAGTTAGTACTCCATCTCGACTGGGAGACCTCCCTGGGTTCCCAGCACCCTCGGCTGAGTCGCCAGGATCTCTGCTAAAACCAGGTGGTGGTTCCCCTTCTAAAGCTGTGGGGGTCCCCGCCCTGTCCAGGCCTCGTGGTTCTCCTTCTCTCAGGGATGCGGGAGTCTTCACTCTGCTAAAGATGCATGGTTCTCCTTCCTCAAGCAGCACGGTTCTCCTCCAATGGCTGAGGTCCTCCCTATTCCACTAAAGCTGCATGGTTCTCTCTCCTAAAGCAGCATGGTTCTCTTTCTCAGGGCTGCACATGGTTCTCCCTCAATGGCTGACATCCTGCCTATTCTGCTAAAGCCACATGGTTCTCTCTCTGGGATGCGCATGGTTCTCCCTCCTAATGCAGCACGGTTCTCCCCCCTCTCAGGGATGCGGGAGTCTACACTCTGCTAAAGACGCATGGTTCTCTCTCTCTGGGATGCGGAGTCTTCACTCTGCTAAAGCTGTGTGGCTCTCTCTACAATGGTCATGATCCTCCCTGCACCTCCACAGCCACATGGTTCTCCTTCAGAGCTGTGGGAAGGGAGAGTCCTCACTCTGCTAAAGCTGCATGGTTCTCTCCTCAATGGCCACCAAGTCTGGGTTTTAAATCCCCGTGGCCAATCTTCCTCTGCAACCCCATTTCCGACTCCTCCCACACTCGGCTTCACATGCCAGAATTCATATCCTTCCAGCTTTACTGGGCTGCCATCATGAGTCTGGGCAGGTGTGGCCCCGTGTCCTGGAGCCAATCTTCTCCGAGCTCCCACGCAGGGGCTGTAGCTTGGGGGATCTGTCCCCAGTCATGTCTTGGTGGGGAAGTTACTTCCATTCCCCTGGCTCAGAGATGATCACAGCTATTTAACATATCTAAGGGACCAGCCAAAGGCTACAGATATGTTAAATGACCACACCAGAGGGTAGCTGCAAGGCTGTTGCTATGCAAAACAGCTCTCAATGGCCCTGCTCCATTTGTCCCTTCCCCCAACCCACACCCTGGGTGGGGAGGGGGATGGAGACATCTTAAAATCTCCTGGACACCTTATGTTCTTGACCCCTTTTCAAATGCCTATTTGGGGTCCCCCCTCTTGGCTGCACCCTGTAACATTACCTGTGATACAAGCAGTGGCTTTTATATATTAATTTATGTGTGTGTGTGTGTGTGTGTGTGTGTGTGTGTGTGAGTGTGTGTGTGTGTGTGTGTGTGTGTGTGTATGCATGTATGTACCTATGTATTTTTAGAGAGAGGGGAAGGGAAGGAGAAAGAGAAGGGAAGAAATATGCAGGTGTGGTTGCATCTTGTGTGTCCCCACCAGAGATTTTGCCTGAAACTAAGACATGTGCCCTGACTGGGAATCAAAACAGTAACCCTTTGGTTTTCAGGCTGATGCTCAACCAACCAAGCCAGATCAGCCTGGGCAAACAAGCAGCACCTTCATGATCATTTGGCAGATGTTCAAGAACCAGTAGCCACGTGACAACAGGAGACAACAGAACCCTGTTGGGGACCTCCCTGCCTGGTATCAGAAGCTGTAACCCCCTCCAAGGCTAAGGCTGAGGGAGTGGACTTGGACCATAAGCCAGAAAGGAGACAAAAGCTAATCTCCCTGGCAGGAGCGCTGCTTCTTCTGCTTCATTAATAACTGAACCCCTAAGCTTGGTTGGTTAGCCAATGATGGGTAAGATTCCCCAAGGGGGGAATGACCTAAGACAGGCACAATCACATGGGAGGCCCCCAAGAAAGAACTTTGGGGACCACAGCAAAAGGGGGTGATGGACCCTCGCTCCTCGGCTTTGTTATAGCCTGAGTCCTCATCATCTGGGAGAAAATCTCCTTATCTCTTGGTTGCTTTAGTTCCCTTGCTCCACTTAAGCCTGAAACAATGATAGGGATGTGCAGCTCTTAGCTGAAAAGGGTGGGTTCCCTGGGTGATCAGGCCTAAGAAAGAATATGTAAATTCCTGTAAAACCTTCTTTGTTTAGAATGCTCTCAGTTGAATGAGAAGGGTCCAAGGAAGAAGTAAGTTTGTTCCTTAAAGTTTTACAACTCTTTGACCCTGACTCAAAATAGGCCCTCAGAGTTCCTTGTTATCTATTGTTTGATCCTTACTTCCTGGCAATGAGTAATGAGCTTTTCCTGAATTCTTATGCAAATGAAACCAATAAAAAGCCTCTCCAGAGGCAGATGGGGCACTAGCCCCACCAGAGAGAGTGGCCATTTTGTTCCTACTTCCCCACAGGACCTGGTTGTCTCTGTGTATGGTTTTCTTGCATGTTGACAAGCCATCCACAGCATTCCATGGTCACTGCCTGTTGGTGATTGCATCAGAACCCCATGTTCTCCTGGGTCAACCATGGAGGAAGAGATCTCACAGATCAAGAACATGAACAGCTGCCCTTTGCACTCATCAAGTGGTATACCACAGTGCAAATCATCCCCATTTTAATACAGAGCCATTGTAGTGACAGATGTCCTTAAGGAAGTGCTTGCCTTTCTACTCAGAACTTGATGAATATTTTAGGTTCAAAATTACTTTATGTTCTTCAGTCATACGGGATTCTCCATGCTAGCTAGTATTCTCTACCAGGCATTCCTGCACCACCACATTGGGGAGTTTCTCTTCTAAAATCCCAGCACTTTCTGAGAGTGGACTCATGTACCTTCTTCACATGGTCCAGTCTAAATGAGGCAAAGTGTAGATGCATACTCAGTCATGTCCAAGTGTGGACATTAGTGGCTAAACACACTGATAAGGGCATCAGAGATGAGATTTCAGACACCACTGGTCATTGCTCAGGCTTCTTTTTAAAGGGGTTAGTCATGGAGGAGCTATGTTGATGTTCCATGTGTGGGCTCCTTGTCCTCCAAATCCAGCAGCCTGGCAGGTACTGACTTCTTTCTTAATTCCAGGGACAGACATGAGCATCTATTTTGTTTTTACTCTTGAGAGAGTGTCACAGGTGACTCCGAACTGTGATCAATGAGAAAGTACCATTTCCACAGGACCTTGGACCTGTGCTGGATTTATGAAGCATGCATCAGTTACGTGGACTCCCATGTCATTTAAGTCACTGCATGTTTATCCTGTGTGCTGATCTTTCCATCACGATGTATTATCACACTTGGGACCTGCATCAAGCAAGCATCCTTCTAACAAATTTTCGCCCTAATATATTGAATCAAGTCAGTATCTATTGGTTCAAGATTGGACTTCACAAACTTTCCACTTGAAAGGATATTGCCATTTAGTTTTGTCCAAGATCAAAATGTAGGAAAAAAAATAACATTTGCAAGATCACTCACTGTGTGTCTTGGGTGTCCCCTGTTGTCAGGAGCACACCCTGCATCTCAGCCCTTCTTTCTCCCTAGGGGAGGTTTTTATCAAGGCTCATAGTGACTTCCTCTCACTGTGTATCTCTTGCACAGTAATAAACGGCTGTGTCCTCAGTTTTCAGGCTGTTCATTTGCAGGTACAGCATGTTTTTTCCATTGTTCCACCTCCAGAGGGAGGTGGTGAATCGACCCTTCACAGAGTCAGCATAGTATGTAGTACCACCATTATTATTAATAACTGATACC